TACGCTATCTAACTACACATTTGACGATTTGACGGCTGATGAGATGGGTGTTTTTTGATTCGTTCTATACACAACGCACCAAGAAGCATCTTTGCAAGCCCTTTTGCGGGATCACAGACCGCTCATATCAACACCAATATTATCAATGCAGGCTGGAACAAATCTAATTTGCCATTAGTCGAACTACTAACACAGATCGTAACTGGAAGCAAAATTTATGCTATCAATCATACCAAAAATAGCTTTCGTTGTACGAAGTGCATAAACCCCTTGCTCGCCCAGAATAGGTCAAATCGTTGCGCAGACGATGGGGCATTTGTTAAGCATGTCGCCAGATAGGTGGCCACGACGAGCGATGTTCGCCGAGGCAGGTAGTGGATGGAAGAAAGCCAAGGGTGTCCAAGCTAAGACCTGGCATGGGGGTATGAAAACCCTGACTAGGAGTCCAGGTCCTGTAGGTCCCGTTAGGCTCCCTGGATGGGCACCTTGGGATGATCGTAACCGATGGTTAGTGACACTAAGTGATATGGCTGAGTGTCGTAAACAGTAGTGTTCGCGCATCTTGTCAGTTTTTCTGCGAAATTAGTGCAGTAAAATTCAAACTTTTCTCTTTGATCCTACTTTCAATTTCTCTTGCCTTTCTCTCTCATGTTCATCCAACTGGGCAGCCAAAAAGCAGCATATGTAACCTTGATCCTGTCCCAGGAAACTGTTATTTTTATCGCATATGTCCCATGTGTTTATTTATTCTTGGCAGGTGTGCAATGAAGCGGTTGGTGATAAAGCAGCCGGTTGGTTTTTACGCTACTTAAATGTGGATCTGCCAATTCAAGGAAAGCAGTATCATTTCGACTGTAACACATGGCTTTCATCAAAGCGAGCTGATGGTAGAACTCAACGCTGTTTCCCGGTGATGCCCGGCGGTATTCGTGCCTATCCCAAACGTGAGTCATGCAGCGAGGGAAATATACTTTCTTGTTAAAAGGAAAAGTGAATAACTGGTCTCTAAATTCCCTTTAATTTTGGATGAGAGAGGAATATACCATACTGACCCTTATATTGGATGTGAATCTAAAAATATAACACCATGATTTTGGTGCACAATGCTACCCAGCCCCATTGATCTCTAAACCAGTTATCGATTTTGGGCCCTATTAACTTATAATCGCAACTTCCAAAGGTAAATTCGTCGTGTATATAGCAAATAAAGCGTGAACTGAAAAGCTAGGAAGCACTGGACAGCGGTTTCAACCTGGTTGGGTCTCAGCAGCAGTGTGAATTCATCGACCCAACTGGGCATCGAACCCGATACATTATTGGCAGAACGCAAGCATGCTACCCATTCCACCATCGGGCAGCTGATCAGACGGTTTTTTGAAATTCGCTCCCTCATTATCTGATTACTGTGATCTATACTTTATAAAGTATAGGATCTTGTTTAGGTTCATCTTCTTAGTGAATGTGTAGCAATACAAACAATTCTTTTGGAAATAAATGTGGTTTATCGAAGACCGCCTGGGTTAATTTAGAAATGGAAAAGTTGGACTGTGGTGATAGTGGAACCTGCGCACACAAATTTAGCATCAATATTTTCTTGGCTGGTCTTATGAAACTTCCCAATGTATAGCACAATACACTATACAATTATCGCTTTCTCCATCCCAGTAGGCCAACTATGGTGACCTGGATTATGGTCAACGTTCGAAACCTGATATTCATTACTTTTAGTCAACATCAGCTCTAACCAGATGTGAGAATAAGTACAAGTAATCACTTTCGATTGTTCCCATGCTTGTTCTAAGAGAGTTAATTTCGTCTGAAGCTGCACTCTAATTGTTCGAAAGATAAGACGATTTTCAAAACGGTCCACTACAGGATCAAGGTGGAGGCAGTAGGGTGATTTTACCAGAACACTCGTTTCACTTGGAGAGACAAAACATCCAGAATGGGAAATTCAATTATTGCCTGATTTATAATAAGCTCAGCAGCCTCGATGGCATTTGAACCCACGCCTGGATGCCTCTTTCCCGTTTATGCTGCACACGCTCATTCAGCTAAGTTACGGGGTCAGACCGAGTTCACCAATCTCTTTCAACTTTGGATCACTCAACTTCTTGTAGTATAATGTACACATCCCCGTCTAACTAATAACGAACACCGCTGTCCATCCCTCATTGGACGAGTCTGATGAGAAAACCGGACAATCAATGCCGAAATTAGGCACAGAGGCTTAGGTATTCGCAGTCGTCCAATGGAGCAAGTGGTTGATCTCCATAGATTACACCGGTTAGGATGTGTTGCTTATGTCCCCAAATAAATTGCCGCGGTGCGCGATGTTTACCGAGGCAGGCAGCGAATGGGAAAAGGTCGAACTTAGGGTGTGAAAAACCTAACTAGGAAAATTGGTCACATAAGTACATTTAGACTCCCCGGATGGGTACTCAGAGATCATGGTAATCGATGGTTAGAGATTTTAAGAGTCATATTGTATCGAAAAGGCGAGCTGGCTGGGAAAACGTCTATTGATCCAATTCAAAAACAAACAGTGTCTACGTTAGATTATATACAGTCAATTCTGAACCGCGCGGCGGGATGATTCATGCCTCTTTCTGTGGATCATTCGTTGTTGGTCTTGGTCCGCACTTGGCACGTACGTTGCCTCTTCTTCCGCGTGCCATTCCGACTGGTTTGACCCGATCGCGGCACGAGATGTGTTGATCGA